TCAGACCAAGAGAAATGTTTAGTAAATGTCATTGCTGCAAAGATGTTGTGGTTCTACTCCCCACGGGCTCCGTTAGCGGCAAAGGAAAGCTAGGCTAAATGGTAAATGCTAGCTTACTCGGGCACATTACAGTTGTCACGGTTTCAATCTGCAAAAGGAGTTAACCCCTCCCACCTTTTAACTCAGAGTCAGAGGAGAAAATCTAGATATTAGTACAAAATGTAATTAGTACAATGGTATGGTAAGACCAGGTTATGATGGGAGAAGTTGTAATATATATATAAGTTTGTCTTTTGTTACTTGTCTGGTGCACACCGGGGACTTTTTACAAATGTATTCCAATGTGGTTTTACTGCAAATGACAAATAACTCAATCTGATGTTTTGCTTTTCTTGAAAACTGCTGTTGGGAGGGGAAAAAAGGTCTTCTAATGCAGCTGTCCTCCACACATGACATTCTCAGTTAGGATATTATGACTCGAGGCCTCTCTGTTATCAAGAACAACTCTTAGTGGCCAAGTTGAAGAATGTAGAGCAAAGACAACACAGACAGGAGCCGAGGAAGACGTCGGACGGAGCGGGAATGGCGAGGGTGGAGGCAGAATCTCAAACCAGGCCACACGTGTATTATTCAGGAGCGTAAAAACAGAAACTTCCTCTGAATGATTCAAACACTATTCTGTCAGATTCCAATAGGCCGGCTTTGCCCTGAGAGAAGGTTAGTGTAGCAAGACCAGGTTATCTGTATGTATGTTTTCATTTATACTGTATATTTTTACTTTGACTTGATCTAAATGTTTAATTTTAGCAGAGTGGATGAGTCTTAGTCCTGGACCCAGACTCTGGAACAAGTAGCCCCCTGTAATGCGTATACAGGGGGCAGCTTGTTCCAGAGTCTGGGTCCGGGACTGATTTTGACCTTTTTTAATTAAAGCTCTATCCTATTTATTCAGACTGGCTTTTAACACGTTTAACACTCATTACCACTTTTAACACTTTAATGTAGTAGAAAATTCTCCTATAGATCTTTAAATAAACTAAAACTTAAAGGAGCAGTTTGTAAAAAATGTGGCCAAAAGTGGTACTGCAGCCTCTCCCACTCTCCCTGACTCAGGTTGCCAGATATGCAGACGAATCCAGCTGGGACCATAACAGCTGAATAGACAAGAGTTTTGTCAACAACAAATCTATAACCAACACCTTTTTCACAAAGATAGAAATCCTGGTTTTATTCCTTGTTTTGTCGTTAATGATTTGAGAATCATAACGAGACCTTTTTTAGTTCTGCGCCACATGGTACTTTACCAGTGAGATTAGCTCCACGCGGTGAGTTCTGGCGCCCGGTTCACAGACTTTCTGATTGGTGAAACGGTGGAGGGCGGGACATCGAAATGAAAACAATAACAAGATTTAAGGGCTGGAAAAGTCATTTAGAAGCTCAAATATTTCTGAACTACTGTTATCAGTTAAAGAAGTATTGGAAAAGAGCAGTTTATTATGATGACAGATTAGGGCCCTTTAATGATGACAGATTAGGGCCCTTTAATGATGACAGATTAGGGCCCTTTAATGATGACGGATTAGGGCCCTTTAATGACGACCGATTAAGGCCCTTTAATGATGACAGATTAGGGCCCTTTAATGACAACAGATTAGGGCCCTTTAATGATGACGGATTAGGGCCCTTTAATGACGACCGATTAAGGCCCTTTAATGATGACAGATTAGGGCCCTTTAATGACAACAGATTAGGGCCCTTTAATGACGACCGATTAAGGCCCTTTAATGATGACAGATTAGGGCCCTTTAATGACAACAGATTAGGGCCCTTTAATGACGACAGATTAGGGCCCTTTAATGATGACATATTAGGGCCCTTTAATGATGACATATTAGGGCCCTTTAATGATGACAGATTAGGGCCCTTTAATGATGACAGATTAGGGCCCTTTAATGATGATTAAGGAAGACTCAACATGAAAATCTTACATATTGCTAGTTTAAGATATGAAACAACACAGTATAATGGAGACAGACATGATCACAGTGTATAATAATAATAATAATAATGGTTCTGATTGAAGCTGTATCTGATCCTATAAAATCCGTCACCGGAGCGAGAATGAAGTTATATAACATCTAACGCAATAAAGATAATTAAATGTCCTGTGTTCATGACCTCATCATATTCGCCGTGAATGATTCCTTTTCTGTCCGTCTGTGGAATGATGATTGTAGCCTGGAGCGTCCACACATGCGCTCATAGTTTCACCTGCGCTCCTCAGATATTATCCAATCATAACGTGACTCATTTAAAACGTGTCTGGACTCCGCAGACTCCAGAGACTGACGGCGAGTTTGTAACAACAGGATTTACATAGAATTATGGAATGACAGAAATAGCCATGGCCACAATCACATGTATTTCTGACACACTTATTTGCATCAAAATCCTAAATGTAAAAAGTGCTTTGTGTGTTCTTATGGGTGAGGTTTAGAAGGTTTTTTTTAATAAGACAAAAAAGGTTAGTTCGACTTAATTACAGATATTACTTACGACAAAAACATGTCCTCTCTGACGAAGGCGGAAATCTACCGCCCAATCATGTGGTAATGAAGGAAAACTAGCTTTTTATGTCTAATTAAAACAATCTTCTGAGCGCGAAAAGAAATCTGTAACAAATGAATGTGTGACTGACTCATTGGTTTCAGTCCAGGATATTTCTGTATTAAACAAAAAGGCTGTGGACGTTCTGTTTCTTTTTCCAAATGTGACTTTTGTTCATGAAGTGTGTCTAATTTTAACAAACAGAAGTGATCAAAGCTGTGTTCCTCTTGTCCTCGTTAGTTCTAGCTCCATATTTTACATCCCAACATTGTGTTTTTTATTTTTTGGTCCTAAAATCGAATAATTGTAAGGCAAGGAAAGTTTATTTGTATCACACAATTCATACACAACTCAAAGTGCTGAACACGTCAAGATAGCATGATGTATTAAGCATTAGCTAATATAATGAAATCATGATATATTAAGCATTAACTAATGATAAGTTCATGATTGTGTCGTCATAATTTGCAGTAGATTTCCGCCATGACTCATGATGTTCATGGGGATCATGAGGTTAATGATTTTCAGTTCATCTCCTTGTTTTTCAGTAAATTCATGGAATCATCATGATCATGATGATTCTTTAAGATTTTCATGTGAATTCATGACAATAGTTCAACCATTAATTCATGGATGAAGTCATCCATGAACCAACATGTAGTTCATGAGAATTCATGATCCAGTAATGCATGAATGTACCATAAACTAATGCATTAATTCATGCATTAGTTCATGAGAATTATGCATGAACTCATGAACCATTAATAGAAAGTGTTAATAACCATTACTTAACAATGCTTAGTTGGGTCAATCACTCCCTCATGTCCCTAAAGAAATCCATCAAGGCCTATTTTTAAACCCAGCTTTTATTCAGAATCATCATTTGACACAAATCACAAATTTATTTCCAGGACTTCCTCGGGTCGTCCTCCTGCAGCGTGTTATGACAACAGTCTCAGTCGGAAACAGTGCCTTCCTGTCAGAGCGGGGAAAGTCTGCAGCCGTGACGGATGTGCCCAAACTGAGAGAGACGGTGCTAGCTAAGCCGTCCAAAAGCTGTAAAGTAAAAGTAATTTGTGATGAGTTATGTTAAGTAACAGTCTGCTGCATTAAATAACAGTGCGGGGGTGTGAGTCCAAAACACAGATTTAGTTTAATCTGGATTAAGAATGACGGCAGTTGTGGTTTATTATTTAGCGAGAGCCGGGAGCAGGCGGACCCCTGGGGCTGAACGGAGCACGAACTTGGGGATTCAGTTATTAGTGGACAGACTGGAGGAATGGACCAGCGCCTGCGGAGATAAGACCCTCTGAATACAGGATTGAGTGTTTGACGGATAGAGAGAGGATTGGTGAGGGCTTTTAATACACTGTTTAAATAAGCAATGGGAGCAAAATTAGGAGTCAGATTGAGGAACAAGTCAATACATTTTCAGAGTTATTCATGATTGTTCAGATCAGCAGCCGCACTTCCATTAGCCCCATTAGTCCACCTCGTAGACTGTAAATAATATTGAGACCTATCTCCACCGTTGACGCTAATGTGACACCGCTTTTGCCTTCTGTTGGGTTTTTCAAAATGGCCGCGAGGCAGGTCTATGTGAAAAAACGCATTTGAGATTAAGAGTTTCACTTCATTGGTTTCAGTGTTGCATCACAAGTTATAGAACAGTAGGAATGAGGAGCACAATTTAAGTGAACAATAGCTACTAATTAACATTAAAAACAGGCAAATATAAAGTGCTGTGTATTTTAGTGCAAGCAATATGTTGTTATATGTTAGCATCTGTGCATGTTAGCAGCAGTATGTTAGCATCTATACATTAGTAAGGATTTGCAGATGCGTTAGCTGCATGAGCCCCATTCATTTAAAGTTAAAGAGTGCATTCTATAGTCCACAGCGGCTAAACTACCCTGGTTCAAAAAATATTCCCCTCAGCATCAACAGCATCTGAAAAGTAGCGTTGGACCAAGAGGGACTTCTGGAACATCCTGTAAAGACGTTTTCAAGAGAAAAGAAGACACCATTCAAAAGCATCGGGTAATTCTTTTTCCGGGTACACCCGGTCAGTGCACATGCTCATGGACCTTTTGGAGCCGGGACCCGCTCCTACTGGTCCACCCCAGGGCGTCTGCGGCAACAGTAGCCGCTCATACATGTCATGACTGCAGCATTTTACTGTTCAGAACATTTCTTAACTTGAGGATCTTAAAAGACGATTTTGTAGATTTTTTCCTTTGGTTGTGCCCCAAAGAACTTAACAATCTTTTATCTTTTGGAGTGACTGAAACCAAAGGGTAAAAAGGGCAGTTTGAAGCTGCTGTCACACGAACCTGGTGATTACTGCGCTACAGCAGCAGAAGTGTTCCCGCTGGTGCTCCGTGGGGGCTCTTTCAGAAGCTCCAGTCTTCACTTCTCTTTAGGATGTGGCGAGGAGCAGTTTTTAATGATGTGGTCTTGTCACGGCGAGGGAGCAGCTGTTGACTCCACCACAACAGCAGCACTATAGCTCTGCAAGCTCTGTCGGACTGGCTGTGAGGGTGCATTGGGGCTGTACTGGGTGCATTGGGGCTGTGAGGGTGCATTGGGGCTGTGAGGGTGCATTGGGGCTGTGAGGGTGCATTAGGGCTGTGCTGGGTGCATTGGGGCTGTTCTGGGTGCATTGGGGCTGTGAGGGTGCATTGGGGCTGTGCTGGGTGCATTGGGACTGCGCTGGGTGCATTGGGGCTGTGAGGGTGCATTGGGGCTGTGCTGGGTGCATTGGGGCTGCGCTGGGTGCATTGGGGCTGTGAGGGTGCATTGGGGCTGTGCTGGGTGCATTGGGGCTGCGCTGGGTGCATTGGGGCTGTGAGGGTGCATTGGGGCTGTGCTGGGTGCATTGGGGCTGTGAGGGTGCATTGGGGCTGTGAGGGTGCATTGGGGCTGTGCTGGGTGCATTGGGGCTGTGAGGGTGCATTGGGGCTGTGAGGGTGCATTGGGGCTGTGAGGGTGCATTGGGGCTGTGAGGGTGCATTGGGGCTGTGCTGGGTGCATTGGGGCTGTGAGGGTGCATTGGGGCTGTACTGGGTGCATTGGGGCTGTGAGGGGTGCATTGGGGCTGTGAGGGTGCATTGGGGCTGTGAGGGTGCATTAGGGCTGTGCTGGGTGCATTGGGGCTGTTCTGGGTGCATTGGGGCTGTGAGGGTGCATTGGGGCTGTGCTGGGTGCATTGGGGCTGCGCTGGGTGCATTGGGGCTGTGAGGGTGCATTGGGGTTGTGAGGGTGCATTGGGGCTGTGCTGGGTGCATTGGGGCTGCGCTGGGTGCATTGGGGCTGTGAGGGTGCATTGGGGCTGTGCTGGGTGCATTGGGGCTGTGAGGGTGCATTGGGGCTGTGAGGGTGCATTGGGGCTGTGCTGGGTGCATTGGGGCTGTGAGGGTGCATTGGGGCTGTGAGGGTGCATTGGGGCTGTGAGGGTGCATTGGGGCTGTGAGGGTGCATTGGGGCTGTGCTGGGTGCATTGGGGCTGTGAGGGTGCATTGGGGCTGTACTGGGTGCATTGGGGCTGTGAGGGTGCATTGGGGCTGTGAGGGTGCATTGGGGCTGTGAGGGTGCATTAGGGCTGTGCTGGGTGCATTGGGGCTGTTCTGGGTGCATTGGGGCTGTGAGGGTGCATTGGGGCTGTGCTGGGTGCATTGGGGCTGCGCTGGGTGCATTGGGGCTGTGAGGGTGCATTGGGGCTGTGCTGGGTGCATTGGGGCTGCGCTGGGTGCATTGGGGCTGTGAGGGTGCATTGGGGCTGTGCTGGGTGCATTGGGGCTGCGCTGGGTGCATTGGGGCTGTGAGGGTGCATTGGGGCTGTGCTGGGTGCATTGGGGCTGTGAGGGTGCATTGGGGCTGTGCTGGGTGCATTGGGGCTGCGCTGGGTGCATTGGGGCTGTGAGGGTGCATTGGGGCTGTGCTGGGTGCATTGGGGCTGTGAGGGTGCATTGGGGCTGTGAGGGTGCATTGGGGCTGTGCTGGGTGCATTGGGGCTGTGAGGGTGCATTGGGGCTGTGAGGGTGCATTGGGGCTGTGAGGGTGCATTGGGGCTGTGAGGGTGCATTGGGGCTGTGAGGGTGCATTGGGGCTGTGAGGGTGCATTGGGGCTGTGAGGGTGCATTGGGGCTGTGAGGGTGCATTGGGGCTGTGCTGGGTGCATTGGGGCTGTGCTGGGTGCATTGGGGCTGTGAGGGTGCATTGGGGCTGTGAGGGTGCATTGGGGCTGTGCTGGGTGCTTCCTATTACCTTTGAGATGTGTCAATCTTCTTTTTGTTATGAATAATATTGTTATTAGCGAAATATTAGCATGTTCTTTCTGCACATGTATGTACTCTGCATTGTGTGTTTTATTTTGAATTGACTATGATAAACTAAATTCACTCATTCCTTCATAAGACAAACTAAGCAGATGTATGTGCAGAAGATATGCAGAAGTATACCATCAGGTGGTCAGTATGTCCATTAGGTGGCCAGGCAAAAATAAATGATGGTGCCCAAATGCAGTTGTGAAGGGCATCAGTGATCAAGTGTGCAGTGAATGTATTTGCAAAAATCTTTCAGATAAAAAATTGTTTTTTAGAAAGTGCTTTTACCGTAAGTAACAGACACCCTGTTAGGGCCACCCACTTCTATTGAACGGACCCCATTACCACAGACTTTAAAAGCCGGGCCACTCTACCGCAGTAAACAAACATTACAAAGATATTATATTATTTTGATTAAGTAGGCTTTGTTTTGAATTTAAATGAAAGAGGGATTATTATTAAAAAAATTATTGTAACAACCAGTTTTAAAAATAGATTGATTGTACTTTTCCATTTCTGACACTGGCGTGGCCCTCGGCGTTTGCTAATATGGCGTATGCCACGGGCCGGATCTGCAATTCTATAAATCTGCTGATTAATTAAAAGTTTAAAAAAAGGTGGTATTAAGTGGTGACAGTCTGGTTACTGTTTGTTCTAACCCACAGGAGCTCACAGCAGGAGGTCGGGGCCTGAGCTCTGAACCAACGTCTCCTGAACATGACGTCTGTTTCCGTCACAAATGCACAAATACACGTCAGATTCCTCAGATCCTTCAGGAGCTCTCAAGCTGCACAGAAACCACAGCTCTGCACCTGCCCCAGCCGCAGAGGGTCAGCACCAGAGGGTCAGTCAGACTCCAGGGTGGTCTGTGGGGTGTGCCTCCGTTTATGGTCTTTGAATATAAAAATCAGAGCTGTCTGTAGGAAGTGTTTGGGAGCATTGGAATCAGTTCATTGTCTCGTGAAAACACAAACTCCCATGAACCTGTACAACAATTACCTCCCTAGCAAATTGGGTTTTGGGAAAAATGTTTTATTGATTTCTTTGACATATTTTGATCAATCCAAATGAGGATTAAGGCATTTTCAACACTATCATTTCCAGGATACACTTATATCCTATATATGTCTTCCACTTGTGTTTTCATACAGAGGGAGATTTTTTTTGTTTCTGTTTTATTTTGCAGTGTGTGTACGTCTGTGGCCCCGCCCTGATGTGTACCTGTGTTTCCCAGTTAAAGTCCCTGTGTCTCCCAGTTAAACTTTAAAAACAAATCAACGTAAATTTCTATAGAATTATTAAATGCATAAATAATAAAATATAGTAATTAAAAACATGAATCACGGGACTAATGGGATTGAAATCATAAAAAGCCTCATTGCATTAAAAATGTGAAAAAACAGACCTTCTTCCTCAGACTCCCACTGATGTCTGCTGCTGTTGTGTCATTGGGCAACGCACTCAACCCCACTTTACCTGAAGACCCCCGCTCAGACTCAGCACCTGCAGGAGGATCAGGGGCTGGAGCTCTGTGGGCTGAATGCATCTCTGACTGCCACCCCGACCCAGAAATGGATTAAGGGGAAGAAAGTAGTAAAAAAAAGAGCAAATATAAAATCCCTGCTGTATGCACAGACAACTGCTGAATATTCTGCAGACAAAGGAAAGTCCAAGAGTTGCACAAATTTAGTGAATTCTACATCTCCATAATTCACAAATACATCCCTGACTTTGCGTGCATGTTAAGCCCCTTTGACTATATGCACTTTTAAGCTCAATTATCGCATTCTCCTCCATGCATTAAGGACAAAAGCTGCATGGCATAAACGTGATCCCAATGCCAATCGTCCAGATGTTCAATCACTCTGCATTTATCTCTCAAATCTGCTCCTGTCTCTGTGGCTCTCGGCCTCCACTCTGTGTTTATGTGCTACTACATCTGACCGAGGCTTTGGCACGCCGCGGCTTTATGTCTCAAGTTTCGTGTGGGAACCTCCTGTTTAGGTCTCCCTGGCGGACCATCGTGGGCTCTAAGATGCTGACCAGTATAAAAAAGTGAAATCGGAGCGCATTCCAAATGGTCAGAACGGAGCTATGCGGCTGCACAGCTGAGGCCAGATTAGAGCCGAGCAGGAAATTAGCCGAGCAGGCAGGGGTCACCGGAGCCAACATGGAAGAGCACACAATAGAGACTCAGTGTGGACCAGTGCCATAGACTGTAAATATTAATGTATGCAGTCACGGCCTTTCTCCGCTGTTTAAACTTTTGCCTTCAGTGGGATTTTTTGAAATGGGACAGGAAAATGTGAAAGAACACGTTTGCCCCATTCATTTAACAAGTGCATTGAAAAGTCCACAGCGGCTAAACTAGACTGGTCCGGGAAAAAAACTCCCCTCAGCATTGACAGCATCTGGAACGTACTGTAGCATTGGACCAAGAGCCACTTCTGGACCATCCTGTCAAAACATTTTCAAGAAGGGAAAATGCCATAGAAAAGCAATGGGTAATTCTCTTTCCGGGTACACCCCCACCACAGCATGTATAATAAATGTAATATGTACTCTCAAAAAGGTAATAAGGCTTTTCTAATGAAATATTTACTTTTTAATGCGCTGGAAATGGCAGCAAATCCTAAGTAGTTCTGAAACAGTCGTCTTGTGCTCTTTATATGTGATTTTTCTTTTCCAGACCAGAGATGCCAACGAAGCATTGAGCTTTTCTCTCTGGACCAGAAGAAAGAAAACGGTTTGAGCCGAGTGACTAGTCCACTTCTGCTGCTGTGACCTTTTTACTATTGTTAGCTACTTTATGTAATTATGTTTTAATTTGTTTTGTTTGTTTGGATGGAAGCTGAGTTCTGGCAACACGGATCAAGGACTTTCTGATTGGTAAAACGGTGGAGGGCAAGACATCCAAATGAAAGCAGAAAACAAGATTAAGGGGCTGTAAAAGTAATTTTCAAATCCAAATATCTGTGAACTACTCTTAAAGTATTGGAAAAGAACATGTTTATTAACTCATTGAATGCCATGGATGTATTTTTTGGGATTCTGTCAAACTTCCCTGTTTTCGCCTGGGGATTACCGGAGAACGAAACTAGCTAGAAACAAACATATTTTTTCTGATGAAAGCAGACAGTCCAATCTGTCAGAATCTGGTTCCATATTTCCCATAGTCCTAGCACACAATATTCTGTGGGTCTCGAAAGTCAGTGAATTAATCAGATGGCAGTCAATGAGTTAATTCCTTTTGACAGATTAGGGCCCTTTAATGACTACAGATTAGGGCCCTTTAATGATGACAGATTAGGGCCCTTTATTGATGACATATTAGGGCCCTTTAATGATGACAGTTTAGGGCCCTTTAATGATGACAGATTAGGGCCCTTTATTGATGACAGATTAGGGCCCTTTAATGATGACAGATTTGGGCCCTTTAATGATGACAGATTAGGGCCCTTTAATTATGACAGATTAGGGCCCTTTAATGATGACAGATTAGGGCTCTTTAATGATGACAGATTAGGGCCCTTTAATGATGACAGATAGGGCTCTTTAATTATGACAGTTTAGGGCCCTTTAATTATGACAGATTTGGGCCCTTTAATTATGACAGATTAGGGCCCTTTATTGATGACATATTAGGGCCCTTTAGTGATGACAGTTTAGGGACCTTTAATGATGACAGATTAGGGCCCTTTAATGACTACAGATTAGGGCCCTTTAATGATGACAGATTAGGGCCCTTTAATGACTACAGATTAGGGCCCTTTAATGATGGCAGATTAGGGCCCTTTAATGACTACAGATTAGGGCCCTTTAATGATGACAGATTAGGGCCCTTTATTGATGACATATTAGGGCCCTTTAATGATGACAGTTTAGGGCCCTTTAATGATGACAGATTAGGGCCCTTTATTGATGACAGATTAGGGCCCTTTAATTATGACATATTTTGGGCCCTTTAATGATGACAGATTAGGGCCCTTTAATTATGACAGATTAGGGCCCTTTAATGATGACAGATTAGGGCTCTTTAATGATGACAGATTAGGGCCCTTTAATGATGACAGATTAGGGCTCTTTAATGATGACAGATTAGGGCCCTTTAATGATGACAGATAGGGCTCTTTAATGATGACAGATTAGGGCCCTTTAATTATGACAGATTTGGGCCCTTTAATTATGACAGATTAGGGCCCTTTATTGATGACAGATTAGGGCCCTTTAGTGATGACAGTTTAGGGACCTTTAATGATGACAGATTAGGGCCCTTTATTGATGACAGATTTGGGCCCTTTAATTATGACAGATTAGGGCCCTTTAATGATGACGGATTAGGGCTCTTTAATGATGACAGATTAGGGCCCTTTAATGATGACAGATTAGGGCCCTTTAATGATGACAGATTAGGGCCCTTTAATGATGACAGATTAGGGCCCTTTATTGATGACATATTAGGGCCCTTTAGTGATGACAGTTTAGGGCCCTTTAATTATGACAGATTTGGGCCCTTTAATTATGACAGATTAGGGCCCTTTATTGATGACATATTAGGGCCCTTTAGTGATGACAGTTTAGGGACCTTTAATGATGACAGATTAGGGCCCTTTATTGATGACAGATTTGGGCCCTTTAATTATGACAGATTAGGGCCCTTTAATGATGACGGATTAGGGCTCTTTAATGATGACAGATTAGGGCCCTTTAATGATGACAGATTAGGGCCCTTTAATGATGACAGATTAGGGCCCTTTATTGATGACATATTAGGGCCCTTTAGTGATGACAGATTAGGGCCCTTTAATTATGACAGATTAGGGCCCTTTAATTATGACAGATTAGGGCCCTTTATTGATGACATATTAGGGCCCTTTAGTGATGACAGTTTAGGGACCTTTAATGATGACAGA